CAATACGATATAACCTAAATATCACCCGGTAAATTAATAACTTACTTTTTACTTGTCGCTTCACTACTGCAACAAAATGGCTCTGTTGTCTGGAATTGGCTCTATTGTTTTCGCATTGCAATAATTTTTTTGTTTTTGAGTTTTGTAATTAATGTATATGTTGTATATAATATGTACATAAACTTGTCTATTTTTACTTGTACATGTTTTATGTTTACTTTCCATACTTGTGCATATATATGTATTTTTCTTTGTTTTCACGTATTGTTGTGAATTGTCTCGTTTTTGTAACGTTTATTGTGTGGATGTTAGGATACTTTATTTAGGTTTGCGCGGTGTGATAATACCATGACATGATGAGAGGAGGTTACTAGCTCTCACAATAAAGACGTCAAGCTTATGACATAAAACACGTATGTTTTGTTTGTATTCGTTTATGTATGAGTTGACTTGTGTTTTAACTAGTTGAAATTGGACTTGTTTTAAATTCTCAAATTTTCACTTTTCAACTTGTTTAATTCATTTTCACCTGTTTGTTTCATTATGTCAATTTGTGTTTCCGCAAGCTTGTCGTGTTTAGCTTGTGGAAGCATGTTTGTTAATGTTGTAAATATTGTAATTGTTGTAAATTGAGTGTGTAGGGTGATTGTGGAGGCTACTGTTGTTGCTGTCTTGTTTTTCTGCAACTGGTGTAGCGTGCTAAGCACAGTTTTGGCCGCTTAGCATGCCCTCATGTGCTGAGCCAGTGAATTCTTTTTTATTTTTCGCTTGGCTTTCCTTTTTCCAACTTCCACGTAGGCTTTAAATAGTAAATAACATTAGTATAATTAATTATTTTATTATTGTTTGGACTCAAATTTTGGTTAGATAGCTTGAAGTCGTATTTGGTGATTTTCCAATTTTGAGTGTGTCATCTTGCGAATGCTTAGTAATGATTATGTTAAAGTTTTGTACATGTTCGAGGTATGTGTTTATCGCTTTCTATACTTTAGCATAATCATGATACTTAGACTTTTTACAATTTTTATGTCATTCATTCTTTTATATACATGTTCATTTGTGAATCACTTTAGTTCCTACCCTTTTTGTGAGGTAGTTTTCCATTGTTCATATATGCTGTAGACCACAACTCTTGTTTAACTGGACTTTATTATGCTTAATCTGTTATTTGTGTTGGTTGTATGAAAGCATGAAAATGATCAAGGCATTTTTTGTTCCATTTTGAGCATAAATATCCCTTGGCCAAATAGTCAATTCACCTTATGAATGTGTGATCATTAGTAATCCTTTTTAACCCTTTTTATCAATATCCATGTTGTTTTTGCTAAATGCTTGTCTATGAGTGTTTGGTTCATCTTTTTGTAAGGATATTGATTCTTTGTTTTCTTGAATCTTTAAATATGAGTTGTAGTTTGAATTTTTACCTTGCCTTAGAAAGTATGGAGTATTCACATTATGATGATGGTTGAATTCAAGTTGGGGAGAGGAATGTTTATGTGCTTATGTTGTGATTTCTATGAGATTGAAAAGAAAAAGAAAAGAAAAAAATGTGAAAAATAAGTGAATAGAAATAGAAAGAAAGAAATGAAGAAAAAAATTGAAAAAAACTTTGAAAAAGAAAAACAAAAAGAGTTCGAATAATAGTGCTAATAAGTGATGTGTGTTGGTTTGAGATTTGGAATGAAGAAGAAGTTTGATTGAAATTATTTTGCTTGAGACTTTGTAAGTTGATCACTCCCTTAGGTTAAGACAAGTTTTTGTTTCGATTAGCTTTAGTACTTATCCCTTGTTTGTTAACCAAGCCACATTACAACCTTGAAAAGTCATTGAGATTCTTGCCTTTGTATGTTCAATGTGACCTTTTGGATGAATGCATAATTTAGTCTTTTGTTTGTAAGATTATGGATGAGTAAAAATACCTTATTTTGTGTGTTTTTCATCTACCGATGATTTTTTTGCTAGGTGTAATTCATTTGTGAACTAGTGTTGTTTTAGAATGTTTGGCATATTCTTTGTATTTAGCATTCGTTTCGTGTTTATGTTATCGTCATAGTTTAGTGGTAAGTATGTTTCATCGTGTGTACCATTTTTCATTTGAATCATTGCATTTGTTTTCCGTTTTTAAAACTTGTTGATTCATGATATTTTGGTTGATTACTTTTGGTTCTATGAGTTGTTTGACTTTGTTTGAGGACAAACAAGTTCAAGTTAGGGAGAGTTTGATAAATGTAAATTGTATCTATTTTTGTATATACTTTTTGTTGCACTTATCAACTATTTATTGTTAATATCGTTGAATAAACTCGACTTTTATGTAAATATGTTTAGTTTGTGTTTATTTGTGTTTTTATGTATATAGTGTACCGTTTTATGTTTTTCCACTCATTTTGTAGGTATTTGATACATTTTGGAACATCGAGGATAAGGTGTCGAAGACACGGCTCCGGATGCGTGTTTTAGGAACAAAACACCAGTTTTGGGACATTCTGTCCAGGAGAGCCCGCTTAGCGCGCAAAGGACGCTAAGCGCAAGTGTGCTCAACGTATTTTGTAGCGCGTTGTTTACGTTTTTACTATTTTGGCAGAAGCATTATTTTGAAGCCTGCTTAGCGCGGATAGCGTGATTTAGGTCGGTTTGATATGTAAAATAAGGAAGTCGCACTTAGCGCGCCAGGCCCGCTTAGCGCGGTCTGCTGAGTTTTGTTTTATAAAATCAAATTTAGTTCATTTTTAGGTTATGGTTTTAGGGAAGTTTTTGCTCCCAACTCCATCAACCTTCAATTTTGTTAGGGTTAGCTTAGATAACAACTATGGAGCTTGCATACGGATGATCCAGGGTGGATTGCTCTTCGATCGGTGTTGAAAAATTGGTAGATTTGTAGTTCATTTCTCTTTTTCTTTGTGTATTCTCTTTGGTTGGGTTTGTATATGTATTTTCTTTGAACTGGTGTATACTTGTCGCCTTTGGCGTTATATTAAACTTGCTTTACAAATCTTTGTGGACTATTGTCCTGAATTTTTACTCTATGTTAGGGATTTGAGTTATTATAGACATATACTACTTAGATTCTTATATAGGATGATTATCTAATAGTGTCTGAATTCTAGAGATAGATTTAGCGTTGTTATTCACTTAGGGTGTCTGAGATTAATGCCTCGATGTTGTTTGTATCGCTCTAAGAGATCATTGACGCAAGTGAGCACAATTGACTTCTGTATTATTGAGGTGGTTGAGAGATTGCTAAAGAGGTGATGTAATCAGCCTCTCAATTTGAGTTAGAAATGACTTAGGTTGTGAGTGACACGTGATGACATTGATGAATATTATAGGTTTAGTATAACAGGTCGATAAGTTTAAGTCTGTGAGAAGTAGTATATATGCACGCTTAATAAGTTATTACTTTTTCTTTTTATACATTTATTTTTTGTTGATACTTTTTCTTTCAACCCATTTATCCCCAAACTCATTAACGATAGAATTGTCGAACGGAGAATCAACAATCAATCTCTGTGGAAACGATACGATATAACCTAAATATCACCCAATAAATTAATAACTTACTTTTTGCTTGCCGCTTTACCGCCACAACACGACACATACATGATTTTTAAACAGAATGTGTTAACCTATAAAGACGCATGTGTCGACCAGAAAGTTATGGAAGTTATGCTTTAAAACGATAGTAAAGGTGTCGACCTGAAAAGTGGATGTGTCGACACATAAAATAAGAATTTCTATAATTTTAGAAAAGCTTCACTATGTGTCTACTTGAAATGATGCATGTGTCAGCCTAAGACTTACAAAATCTACAGGTTTTAATAATGAATTGCATGTGTCGATTTGAAACACAGATGTGTCGACACGTGTAATAAAAAATCATGCAAAAAATTATTTTTAATGGCTTAGATCAATTTCAAAATGCTTTATAATGATTCCTAAGACCTCAAATGCATAGTAGTGCCACAAGACATAAGGATATCATCCAATATTCTGAAGTGCGAGCTTTTACAAGTTTTGACATCATTTAAAATGTTTGACGACGAAACTTGTGCTCACACAAGTCTTCACCAAGACCTTTATAACCTTTTAAAACATAAACAAACACCAAACTCTATGATGGACTATGAATCTCCACGACTCAAAGAACCTTTTCAATAATCACCAAACACTATGATGATTCTCACCAAAAACACCCAGAAAGTATACCACTTTTAATTTACGAACATCTATCACCAACACAATATGAAAGATACAACTACTTCAACTTTGTTGAAAAATAAAGAATTTAATAAGCTATTGAATCTCAAATCAAATCTTAGAATTATACACTTACTTCAACTTTGTTGAGAAATGTCAAACATAATAGGCTATTGTGTTTTGGTTTTGAATTTTTATTTATTTACGAAAGGTTACAAGTTTCAAATGATTTTGAAAAAGAATATTTCTTGAAAATGATATTTGAATTGTGTAAATGATAATTTAAAAGTTATTATTTCATTTTAAATGTTAAACCATCATTTATACACTTAGAAATTACTATAAATGATTGCATATCTTTGAAAAGGTTTCATGAAGCATTGCCAATCAAAACAATGGTCATGTTTCATGAAAAAGCACTTTGGTTCATATTTTATTCGGGTACAACAAGCATGTATTAGTATACCACACCTATACATTCTAATTTTTTCAAAATTTTCCACTTGTATTCAAATACAATAAGGTTGTATTCAAATACAGTTATGCTTTCAACATTAAAAATAACTTTTTTAGGCATAACTTCAATGGTTTGTGTTAACTTTGAAAATATTTTAGGTTAATTTTGAATGATATTTTATGATTTTTTAAGTGATATATAATTGAATGATGATGTATGAAATATAAAGAAAATTTTAACTTTTTTCAATGTATATCTTTGCCACTTTGTCATTGTCGCGCTCGGGATTTTCATCTAAGTTGTAAAAAGAGGCGGAAAAAACAGAAGAGTCGCCATTAATGTCTATTTATCCCACGGAAGGGAAAGGAAACATCGAATAAACCTGCGAATAGGAAAGAACATGGTCTCACGATCAAAAGAAACGGGTAAGGGGGTCAGTTACACAAGAGAAATGTATTAACACCCCACGCGCCTGTAGTACTCTACAGTATCCACTTACGATTGTTGTTCTAAGGGTGTGAAAGTAAATGTCTAGAGCTAAAACATGCATGTGAAAAGGAAAAGAATGTAGGGAAAAGAAAGAAATGTACTCGTGCGGACTCTACCCCACTGCCTACGTACTCTTCTGCTCGACCTTTGGAGACTCACGCATGGTAGAGAGAGGAATTAGCATGTCCTTAGAAAGAGAAAAGCCGAATAGCGAAAAGAAGTTTTGGTTTGTGTTTTTTACCTTGATTAAGGGTTTTTGTATGGTTAGCAATGTTTTACAAGAAAAGAAAACAAAAGAGTGTTTTAAACGCTCGAGACGCACAAAAGGGGAAGAAAAGTCTATGGAAAACTATCCTATGTCTAGGCCCTAGTGTTAGCATACAAAGATGTTCCTATGTTATGGATACAAACAAGGAAAATGACTACCTAAGTTGGCATACATGGATAACAACCTAGTGTATACAACTCATCTCAAGAGAGAGACTGAGTCGAGTCCTATGGGAAGGCGCAAAGTAAGCAAGCAACAAATAAGCAAGGAAGAGCTTGAGGAGTATGCACATCGCTCGAGTAGCACGCAACATACCATGGTCATATGCCACCAATGGTTGTAGAGGGAGACCGAGTAACGGTATGATGTCATCGAAATTGGCAAAGAGGGACACCTAATCACGATATCAAGTTATCAGATAGGATAGGGGTCAAGCCATAGTCAAAGGGAGAGGATCACCCAATTCAACCAAGCTATCTGTCTGTGGGAATAAGTGTGCTCTATACCACTATATCATGTCATCGGGCAAGATGCGAAAATGCAAGGGGAGAAAAGTAAATGGTGCGTGCGTACATCAAGTATCAGCGTCGGGCAACGCGAGCTATAGAAAACTTGGGGGTTCGACTACTAAACCTTTTTCCATATGTCTTGTTCAGGTCTTAGTGACGAACCGACCACTTTGGCGGATCTTGGGAACATGTTCAGAGCTTGGAACTTGCAAGAAGTGAGCATAAGAACAAACACGAATGGAAAACTGGTGGAGGTTTTCACTTGCCTTCTAATGAGGACTTAGGAATTGTTTCCATAAAAGGACCTAAAACCATCATCCCGTTATGCAAGCTCAAAAAGTAAACAATCACAAACACAACCTCCTATTGAGGACTTCCAGTATTGCCTGCTAAATGACACGAACTCCCAATCCTAAGTAAGCAGTTAATGCGAAAAGAGATAAATCGGATAGTAGAAATATACCAAATGGATAACAATCCGCATATTACAGCAAAAGCGAATTAGAAAACCAGAGGTCCTCGTACAAGCTAAGCATCAACAACACACGGTGTCAGAATATGTGCAAGACATCAAATGCAAAGTCAATGTTTCGGTCGCGAAAGTAAATCACAACCGTGCAAGTATCCTGGAAGAAAACAAACAATGCAGACAAGATAATATGTATAAGTATACACCTCGAATGAGGGACAAGACAATGTACATTTGGTATCCCGCAAGTAAAGCGGAACACCGTAGCATCGACATGTGTAAAATGCGGTATCCCACAAATAAAGTGGAATACCGAACAAGCAAGCGTCGTCGAGATATCTCTAAGGAATCCTTTTACAAATTCAGTAAACAAGTTAGAGATAACAAGGGAACAACTTAGAGTTGCAAAACTAGCTCGAAATATGAAAATCCAGAAAAGTCACAAAACAGTAAAAAATGGCGACGTCAATTTACAAAGTAAGCTCTAAAGGGTTAGAAACTATGCAAATACAAGTACAATAATATATAACAGGATAGATAAGTACAAATATGGCACATACAAGTCAAAGGTGCAAAATATGAGTCAATCAGATCGATAAAACACCGAAAAAGGAAAAATGAGTCAAAAATCAAAATTGTCAGAATCGAATGAAAATTACATGGCTACATGCAAACGCCCCAACGGACTCAAAAATGAACTCGATTTTAATTAATTCGGCCTAGAAATAAGACTTTTGGACCGTTTTTCAATTTTGTACAGTAGCGAAAAAACGATAAAAAATGCCCGAAAAACGAATAAGTATTCACGTAATCAATTTCTGAAGCATTGAAAAAAATCGATTTCATTAATCTTAATCAAAAAAACTCAACACGGTTCAAAAGTTATGACAAAAATGAGATTATATTACAAAAATCAGAAAATTTGAGTGTTTGTGTCATTTTTCAATTATCTCAAGTTTTAGCACTTGAAAATGATCTTGTAAATTGCCTTTGACTAATTGGAACATGTCACAACTCAAACAAACAAGCATTTCTAATAAAGTCAACAAACTTACAAACTTGAGAAATTGGACATAAAGTCAAAAGTAAGGAAAAACCAAAGACAAAGTGTGAAATTAAGTGTCAAGTTAGCAACATAACAGAGATACTAATCCTATTGTCATTAGTAAACAAACCACAAATTAGTTATGTCTTATGCTATTGGAATCTATGCTAAACCAAATCAAGTTAGTGTAAGCGCAAACTAGGAACTAGTGAAAAATAGCATGTTAGTGTCAAATTGTTAGTATGGCAAAGGTGAATGTTAGCTCTAGTGTTAGGGAACAAACTACAAGTTAGTAGTGTTATGCTATATTGTTAGTAGGATTATCACAAGCTAGAGGTGAGAAATGGTATGAACACAAACAAGGATTAGTGTAAAATAACAAAAATGTATAACATGTACACATTGTAAAAAGTGACCCGGATCAAAGGCACATCCTCAAAAATTAACTGAAATGAATTATGAAAATTATCGGAAACTATACACATGAAAACAGTTTCAAAAACACGGCCGACTCGGTCAAATTTCACCTGGAAAGTCAAAATCCGAAACTGCTACAGTAGCATAAAAATGGGGTGAAATTTGTCCGAATCAAAAAACTATCCGCGTGGAGAGCTTTGGAATGTTCGAGAAACATGGATTTCAAATTAAAAAGTCAGAAAAACTCCTTACGGAACAAAAGTTACAACAAAAACACCGATTATGTCAATTTTGGCCGATTTTCAAGTGTTGAGCTATTTTCCATTAAACTCAAACCAAATTGTGTCAAACATGCTTTGTTATGATGCTTGAGTCTATTAGGAATTATCTCAACTCATAGAAATTGCCAAACACAAGAAATTACATCAAATAGCAAAATCAAACACTATGTAAAAAGAGAAAAAAAATGTTAATAACTTGAACAAATATTATCACATACATCTAATTGACACCAAATGTTAGCGTAAAAATGATGAATCACAAGTATTATGTTAGTATGTTATCTTGGGGCAAGGCATCAACCAAAATCAAATCACTAAGCTATTCTAGTATTATGTACATAAACAAAAGTTACATTTCCATGTTAGTGTTAGTACCCAAATATGGACATTGGTACCACAATTATTCACAAACCATGTACACAAGTTATTTGAAAGTTGAATTCCAATCACAAGTCAAAAAGTGCACAAAAACAGTAAAATTAAGCCGAAAGTGCGCACGAAAAAAGTGTCTGGAAAATTACAAGAAAAATATAGGGACCTTTAAACACGCCAATGGTTCCAAAAATTCACTCGGTTCGACCAAATTCCATTCCAGAGACCAAAATCCGAAACTGCTACGGTAGCAGAAAAACGGAACGAAATTTGTCTGAATTGAAAATTGTTCACGTTGAGGGCTCCGGATGGCTGGAGAAAATGGTTTTCATATATAAAAGTCAGAAAAACTCCAAACGGATCAAAAGTTAGAGCAAAAGCAAGTTTACGTATCAGCATTTTCATGTTTTGTGATATTTTCCACCAAACTCAAACAAACTTATACCAAACATGTTTAGAAATGATATTTGAATGCATTAAAAATCATCTCAACTCATGAAATTAACCAAACCAAAGGAATCACATCAATTGGCATAAACAAACACATTATGTCGAATTGAAACGAAAGTGTTAGAAACTAGAAAAAATGCTAAGTTAGTAGCACAAAGGCTTCGAAGCCAAACACCGACATGAAACCTCGACACGTTAGTAAATCTAGCAAAAATTGCACACAAAGCGACAAACTAGTGAACTAGCCAACACCAACTCTTATCATGGCAAATCAATACTCAAGAAATCACATAATCAACGTAAGTCTTGAAAATCTTAGTGTTATATCAAACAAAGCACTCTATGTCAAAATCCACCAAAATTAAGCCACAATTGCTCTATGTGAAATTTAAACAAACACTTGGAATGCTAGTATTACAAGCAAAATTCTATGTTAAATTTACATGTCAAATTCACCAAATCTAACAACAAGAGTTAAGGATTTATGCTAAACTAACACAAATCTATTACAAACTTCAAACAATCTCCAAATAATCTCAATAATTACATTCAATTCTCAAGAGTTTATGGAAGTTACCTCAAGAATCAAAAATGGAGAATTGAAGATGAGATGAGGTGATGATGTTGCGATGAGAGAACCATAGGGAGTATGTGGCACGATCGCCCGAAGAGAAGAGGAAGGAGGCCGCGACTTGGTGGCAGACGGCGGGAGGCTCGTCGGACCTCCAGTCGGACAGTGGCGGCGGAAGGAAACCGGAAGAGGGAGGTCTGCGAGAGTGAGGTGGCGGCGGAGGGAGTGCCCGCGGAGAGAAATTGAGAAGGAGAGTGAATTGATTGAGGATTTGTGAGTTTTGTTGGAGATTATTGAGAAATTGTGAAGAATTGTAAAGCTTTTGGTTATGGAAGTTGAGAAATTAGAGAGAAAAGTTTGTTAGAATTTGGAGAAGATGAGGTTGGAGGTGAGAGAATTGAGAGGGAAAATATGAGAGAATTTTTTTTGAGTTTTTGGTGAAATGTGGTGAAATGAAATGTGTGTGTGGAAAATAGAAGGAAAACAGTATTTATATTAAAATATTTGTGAAGGGGAAAATTAGCTCAGATGCGAAAATTTCCACTACGGTGTCAGAATTTCGAAAATAAAACTCTTAAGATAAAAATCCGTAATTGAAATTGGGACACGTCGCAAAAAGAATTAATTTTATGGGATAAAAATTGCACAGAAAAATGGGTGTTAGTGTTACACAAAAATTCATCTATACAAAAATTTGCTTTTCGGACGTCTACGACTCGAACAAGCAACAAGTTCATGTATCTAAAATTCGAATCTCGTGTCAAACTCAACTGTCAATATTTAGATCTCTGAGTCAGAGACGTCGTGTCTGAAGATAAGCTCCACCAGATTAAAATTGATCGAGATATGAATTTTTCAGTGAAATGACATCAAGCCTTTTTCTCTGCTTCAAACCTTCCGTTTTGCGAAATAAACCAAAAAAGAAAGTCTTCGGAATATCGTTCGAACCCGGAAACAACTGTGGATCTGTAGATCATGAAAGTTGTGACCTTGCACTTTGAAAATGGGCTCAATACGATAAAAATCAACCAAGATATAATTTTTGCAAGATTGCGCAGACGGTAGAACGCATCACAAAAATTCTTCAGTATATCACACTTTTGAGCGTCTTCTGATTAAAGTTGACTTCTGGGAAAAGACGTTTTGAAGATGGCATTGAGACGAAATTTCGTGAATTGGAACGGCGTCGATAGAAATTTCTGAACTCGAGTTATGGATTTTTTAGTGCTTAAAAAGACAACGATCAACTTTAAAAATCCACTGTAAACTCCTAGCGCAACGCCTGTTCACTTGAGAATTTGGATATCTTCAATGAATTGGCTTTCGGGTCGAACATGAAAGTTTGAGAAGACGTCGAGTCAGTTCTTTTGGCATAAGAATGGTCCAGTAATAAATTTTAGGGAATTTATTGTGAATCTTCGATCACCCGCGTGGCGGTGGACAACATAACCGAAATGCTGAAAACAAATAACTCACGAGCTTTTCCTCCAAGAATTGGTGTCTGTGTCAAACATATGACTTGTAATAAATACCGAGACAATTCCATCGGATATAAGAACAACTTCTGATTCATCTGAGGCTCGGAGTTATGAACTTCACGATTGTACCTGTAAAATGTTAGAAAAGAATATGGCAAATTTTAGGGTGCAACAGTCATGATCTAATGTTGTTTTCATCTTTATTGTTCATTGTCTTCGTTTTTTTTTTGTCATTGATGTCTATATCTTTTTCTTGTTTTTTTTAAGTATTTGTCTTTATCAAAACCTGGTCAAAGTCAGAGATAGACTCTTCTTTGTAATCTCTCCCCTTCTAATGATAACAAACACCCTTTGAAATTTTCTTGTTCATCAACAAGTTGCTTTAATAATTTTGATTCTTGTAGTTTGTGCAAAAACTTGAAACTCCCCCTATCTTGTATGTCTTCCCCTGACTTTTTCTATTTAAGACTTTCTCCCCCTAAAAATATCATGAAAATAACAAGAACAAAACTACCCTAATATTTTTCCGCCTTTTGACATTATCATAAAGAATAAAAAGTAGAATAATCCAAGAGAACATAATGGAGAAGGAAATAATAAAACTAATCCACGGTGTTGTGCCCCAAATTTTGCCCTCTATTTCCTCAATACATTTCTCACAAGATCTTCAATGGTCCAAGCTCACAACACTGATATATTAAATTAGGGTTTAAATTTTCATAAGGACAATTGAACTTTTAATGCCTCAAAAGACTTTCATGGATCATTATGGACCTCCAAGAATACTCATGACAAGTTTCAAGCCTTGGATCACCAAAATTGTCCAGTCAATTGATTAGATGACCTAAAATCAATTGTATTAATGAAAAAGTCAATTGTACACTGAAAAGTTAAACTTTGACTTTTTGATCAAAATCAAGTTTCAAAAATTATATTTCATCAAGACATATGAAGATTGTTTATCAAGAAATCAAAAAGTCAAAATCATCTTTGAAAAGTCAAAATTCTAAGACTTATAATTTTTCTAAGTGTTGGAAAGTTAACTTTTTTTCATAACTTCATCTCAATTTTTCACCAAGATGCAAGATGATTCAAAGAAAACTTTCAACATGAAACTTGTAGATCTTGATGAGATCTACAACTTTACTTTGCTGATCAAATCCTAGAGGTGCTTGGATTGTGAGTTATAAATTTATAAAGTCATGACATTTTCATCTAACACTTAGAGAAATTTTCAACAGATTTTGGTCAGGATTTTATCCCAACTTCTTGGCATTTTTTCACATAGTTACAAGATGATTTTGTCAAAATGGACAACATGAAAGTTATAGAGGATGTTTCAAGCTTTCCAAAACATCCAAGAGTATGAATTTATCATACTTGAGCTACGAGATTCAAGGACATGAAGTTGGACATCCATTCTTGAACTGCAAGTCATTTTAGTGAAGAACACATAACAAAACCCTTATGCTATGCTGCATAATCTTGTGTTGCAGACCTCCTTGCTTGGAAATCTCATTATAATTTAATTCTTACATCCACTCTTGAGCTATTACCCAAGTGTTTAAGCCTTTTCCCAAAAGATCTTTCCATTTATGGCATAAAGGCACCATTGTTATTCTTAAAAAGCAAGCTTGTTGGCACAAAACTTGTCTTGAACTCATACCTTATTTGTTTCTGATTTTACTCCACCATAAATCATGGAAATCAGCCCCTCTAAACCAGAAACTTTGGATCTTTATCTTGGGACCATGACATAACTTGATATTTGCAACCCAACCTAGCCATAACTCCATAGTTTGTAAACCAAATCAGCTTGTTCACAAACCCTTTGCCTATAAATAGAGGGAGCATTCGCAAGAGAAAAAGGTCAGAAAAATAGAGAGAAAAGCCAAATGTTTTGTTGATAAACCCTCAAAATCTCATATTCACAAAAGCCATAACAATCTACAAAGCTTCCACTCTTGAGTTTTGAAGTCTAAACCTTTGAACCTCTCATACCTTGCAAAGCTTTGCCCAAACAAACTATCCAAACACTCCACATACATTATATAGAAGTTTATTCAAACTCAAGAACAAGCTTCTGTAACACCTCTATTTTTTCAAAGTTCAAGAACAATCAATGCAGCAACTCAAGCTCAAAGCGTAAATTCTAGCTTCAAGGTAAGTCTTCTTGACTTTAACCCTTCATTTCAAGCATCATTAATGATTCATCTTTGAAGATAAAATGTAGTAACCATTGACCTTAAAGCTAACCTTTTGCTTGTCTTCCATCCTTGTTAATTATATGTTAAGAACTGGCTTGTACAAACCATAAAACAAAGTTGGAGTGAAAAAATTACAGTATGAGTTGACACATACCTACATGGGTCGACACATCTCAGTGGAAAAACAAGTTATGAGTCGACACAAAGCCTTTATGTGTCGACACATACTGTTATACAGGGACAAAACAGAAGGAATAAAGAGTGTCTGAGTCAACACAAAGCACGTATGAGTCGACACATGCAGGGAATGAGTCGACACATACCCTTATGCATGGACTCATATTGAATTGATTTGGACTTACAGGAGCAAGACAAGCTTATGTGTCGATGCAAAGGAGCATGTGTCAACACGTAATATTCAAAAATGCAGTTTTCCATTATTTTACAATGTTTTATCTATTTTCATATATTTTCTTCATCACTACTCAATATGGTTGTAATATTTAAGCTCTTATTCCATCTCCATTCATAAATTGTATCCCCATCCCCCTATTTATGTAATAGCGTAGGATTTTAATTTCCGCAAACTTATCGTTTTCATATAATTGTTAGTCATTAGGGTGTGTATGGCAAGATAAAATCTATGCTTAGAAAAACCATAATCTCAAGACAAAAATGCATGCAATCAAACACACTTTTCACACTTTCACCTCTAGGGTTAACTCCACTTGTTGCCTTAAAAATGGTAATGTTATGCATGTGAGACATCTTAGCAAACACAAACAAAATACAAGATCAAAGTCCCTCATTGACGCTACAAATGTTGCCTTACAAATGATCTTAGTCCCTTAAGAAAAATGCTAAGATATCTCACTACATTGCTATCTATGACTATATGATGACTCACGCCCGTCCCTTTACATCCAAAGATAGGGATTCTTACCAATAAATGGTAAGATAGAAATATCAAAGGAAGAGAGAAATGAACAAAATAATTTTGAGTAGGTAGAACGTTATTAGTTGCTTGCTCATAATCCATCTTCACATCAAACACTTTCAAAACATGAAATATTTTCAAAAAGTCCAACACTTTGTATGCATTCTTATAGAGACGAGAATCATTACAAAGTTTTCCTAAACCAAGGCGCTTTTCAAAAATACTTTCAAAATCCACCATAAACACATTTCAAACAAAACAATTTCAAAAGTGATCTAGCAAGCAACTAAGAGCCCATAGATAACTATGGATGAAAAGGGTGCTAACACCTTCCCTTTTCATAACCTACCCCCCGAAATCAAGAAAATATCTCAAAGGTTTTTCATGTTCTTTTCACCCTTTCCTTATTGGATAAAAGAAAAGTCGGTGGCGAATCTTGCTATCCGCAATATTTGCGATAAAACGCAAAACACCCAAGTCAGTTCTCGCACTGTATCACATAACTGGCGACTCTGTTGGGGAAAAACTTAAAAGTGGGGTTACCTTAGAGACTAGATCACATTTAATTGCTTTCATCGTTTGATTTGTTTGCTTTACATTTATGGGTCCTTGTTTGGGTTTGTATTGATCCTCTATCCGGATCTGGGAACCTCATTAGGTAAGTAGCAATAGATTGTGGAAATTGTACGACGTAGACCAATATGGTTGAAGCAATGGCTATGTTAGTGGGACATATTTGTTGGTACTGGTGTTTACCGTGGTTCTTGGTAAACAACCGCTGATCCTCCAAATGGTTACTTATTTGGTTACTCACAGGATCGATCAGATTGATCCTAAGACATGGTTGATTTTGAGGTTTTGATTAAGTTGGATAATGGTTAAATGACAAGAAAATAAAGAGGCTTTAAGTAAATTGCATGAAGCAATGGACTTGATAAAATAAATGAAGGCTTGAAATAAAGGGCTTCGACAGGAAAAGTAAAGAAGAAAGCAAGTAAAGTTTCTGGAAAAGTAAATGACTTTGATTAATAAAAGTGGTGTTTCACACATACATTCTCAACAATTCTTTCTCACACGTTGGGTACTCGAATCTATATGAGTGACTTTGTATATAATTGTGAACACACGCGAGAAACTGCGTGACCTACTACTATTTATACTAAAACATCCCAAGTAACCGTCGAGAAGTTACACCGCTTCGAGATGACTCCACTTGGCACGTTCTCAGCGTTCGACGCTCCAGATCTTTACACGTTGCCCTTGGTAACCGCTGGAAACCGTTTTCCCTCCAAACGCTTGAATTTCAAACTGTTCCACTCTGAACCATCGAACACCTTCATCGAGAAGCATCTTCGACGAGAAACACATTCGACGTCGAAGGCAACCAACTTCTCCCTTGGAAGAAATCCTCTAAGTACATTGCCACCTTTCGATGGGCATTTCGACAGACCCAGCTGGTCGAAAACATCCTTCAGCTTTAATGGCCGATATTAATAAAACAAGGGTGTCGAATTTAGGAGCCAACAAATTGCCCCCCAAGAATGCCTTATTTCGACTCTGAAAGAAAAGGCATTCTTTGAAATGCCATTCGACACCTGTCTTTTCATTCTTAGTCACAAATTAAATTGTGCACCTTTTTTGTCTTCTACCAACCACTGACAATCCCAAGGAAAAGCCATCATTTCATCCGTACCTAAGACGTCACTTCAGTACGGCGTGCAGCGTGCCAAACGTCTTTTCACAAATTGTCATCATGACAATTCCCAAAAACAAGGGCGCACGCTGCACCCTTTCATTTCTGCAGAACGGCTACAACAACAGGGAGACGCCACGTGTCCCACTACCTTCTGCAACATTAAATGGCATTTAATGTCCTCGAATTTGGGGATTTCCCCAACTACTATAAATAGCGGTAAGTACCCAT